ACTGTTATATAGACAACCCTACATTGACAGTGATTTATGGGTAGATACATGGTTAGCTATGCACGCTGAACAGGTGTGGGAGGAAGAGTGGGAATTCACCCACAGATATATAAAGGTTTGATGGAGGATATTTGTACATTTATACATTTGTCTTTACTGAAACCATATCCACGAATGTGGTGGAACACTGTTGTTGAGTGCTGTTGAATCGATTCTGACTCATAGCGACCCTATATAGGGTTTCCAAGGATCAGCTGGTGGGTTTGAACCACCAACCTTGTGGTTAGTAGTCCAGTGCTTATCCTACAGTGCCATACCAGTATTCCATGGTGGAGCATTGTTGTTGTAGTTAAATGCTGTTGAGTCGGTTTTGACCCATAGAGACCCTGCATAGGGTTTTCTAAGAGCAGCTGGTGAGCTTGAACTGCTGACCTTGCAGTTCAAACTGACTTTGCAGTCCAGCGAATTAACCCACAGCACCACACCAGGACTCTGTGGTGGAGCATACAAGGAGCAAAACAGTGAAAACTTCTTAGACACTGCCAAATACTTTGAGGGAATATTTTTTGGGGTCTGGGGGCTGATGACCATAGTCCCAAGGTACACCATGACCAGTCGGCATAACACAGTCCACAAAGACAATGTTCTGCAGCCTACATTGAGGGGTAGTGACTGGAATCTTAAAAGCTCATGAATGATCATCTAAGTTGCAACTCTTGGTCTCTCCTTGTGTGGAGAAAAGAAAAATGATGAAAGCTGAAGATGCTTGGAAACGGAAAGTCCAGTGAACGAACGGACTATGTCCAGTGAACGAATGGACTATGTGAGCATCAGTCTCCAGGACCCTGAGACCAGACAAACCAGACAATGCCTGGCTGCCACTGGGAGAGATCACATTAGAAGGTTCTAGATAGAGTGGGAGAAAATGTGGAACCAAACTCAAAATCACATAACGGAGCAGGCTTACTGGTCAGATAGGGACTGGCGGAACCCTCAGACAATGGCCCTTGGTCATCCTTCAGGTCTGGAACTGGGCTAACCTCGGTGGTTCAGTTTTCAGCCAAACAATAGACGTGTATATAGGGGACAACAACACTAATGAAGTACACACACTACAGAACTGGACAACTGTTGGAAGTAAAAATGGCAGCATTTACCTCAGGACAGAATTCAGAAGGGTAGGGAAAGAAGGAAGAGTGGAAACTAGACACTGGGAGGAAGTGGGATTAGTGATGTTATTGTTTAAACCTAGATAATGAGGAGATTGCAATCAATATGAAGCCAAGTAAAATGGATGATCTGATCTGTAAAATGTCACTCAATTTGCAATGAGAAGTCAAAAAAATTTTTTAAAAGAGCTATGTGCAGAATACGGGGGGCAAAGTGGTCACACTGAGCAGACCTTATGCAACAAGGACATGAGAGACTGTGAAATGGATACAGATGTGATCCTGGAATCCTGTGCTTCCAATGAAAAGAAAGGGGGGTTGGTTAAGTGTCAACTAGGAGACAAAGCAAGCAGGAGCAGCATGACAGGGGGCAGATGCATGGCTGACCTGGCACGACATAACCATCTTGAGCTTTGTGGGCAGCTGTCGATGGACGCAGTAGCCTGGAAGCATAGCTCGATCTCTGGCTGTCATCCATCCAGTGGCCTGTGGTACTCTTTCTTGCAGTGTCTTTGCTGCCTGGGGTTGGGCGTACCACCTGGTGTCTGGAAGTGGGTGAATTCTGCATCATCCGGTCCTTTCTGAGAGGCAACAGTTGTGTGCATACGACCTAACTATATCTGTATCTCCTGTGGTTCCACCCACTCAGCAGCCAACATCAGACAAACCCACCCGGAACTATCAGCAAACAGAGAACTGTGTACGCACTTCTAGTTTCTATCACATCCACCAGGAGACAAGTGATGAGTGCCTAAGAACACACCAACATGAAATCATCAATTAAATACAAATATAATGCAGTATGTCAGAGACCATGGATAATTTCAGCTTACACAAAGAAACAAGACAGGGTGGTTCAAACAAGTGACCAAAATACAGAGCCAGAAAATAAAACACTAAAATGGTATTGGGGCTACCTGATAAGGAATTCAAAAGAATGATATTTAGGTTCCTTCAATGGATTGAGAGAAAGATCCAGAAAGCTGCAGGTGAAATCAAGGAAAATATAGACAACACTTGGGAAGAATTGAGGAAAACACTTCAAGAAAACCCTGACAAAATTCGTGAAAAATTAGAAACCATATAAAAACAGCAAATGAAAGTACAGAAGATTAATACTAAGATTTCAATAAAGTAACATTAAGATTTAGGTAAAACAAACGTACAAGGCTGAAAATACGGAACTAGTGATACAACAGGCAACAACACAATGTCAAGAGGGAATAGTGTAGTTACAGAATTTCCAAATGAAGAATAGATCAAATTTATTTCAAAATAGAACAGACTTTTAAATTTGGGAAGAACTTAATAAATTATGGAACAACCTCAAAATAACAGTGATAAAGTGTATCCTCAAAATAAAAAAGGAAAGAAAAAAAGAAAGAAAATTCCTTTAAGAATTCGATGAAAGCATCCATTAGGAAAACAGGCAAAAGATCTAATAGATATTTTGTAAACAGGTTATCCAAAATTTAAACAAACATATGAAAAATATATTAATAAAAAGAAACCTAACTTGTAGACCAAGTCATACTTCCTAGCCTTAGTCCAACCCCTATCCCTAACCCTGACACTAACCCTAGTCTTACACATAACCCTAACAGGGCATGAAGTCTTAGGCCTACCCATAGCCCTAACTGTAACCCTAACCTCAATTCCTTACTCCTACCCACACCAAAGGAGGCCTGGTGTGGCCCTGTGGGTTAATGTGCTGGATGGCAAGGTCAGCTTGAACCACAAGGTCTGTGGTTCAAGCTCACCAATGGCTCGTTGGAAGCCCTATGTTGTTGTTGTTGTTGTTGTTAGGTGCCATCGAGTCGGTACTAACTCATAGCGACCTTATGCACAGCAGAACGAAACACTGCCCGATCCTGGGTCAACCATGCTTGAGTCCATCGATGCTGTCACTTGGCCATTCCATCTCGTTGGGGGTTGTCCTCTTTGTCTTTGACCCACCACCTTACCAAACATGATGTCCTTCTCCAGCGACTAGTTCCTCCTGATAATATGTCCGAAGTATGAGAGACGAAGTTTGGCCATCTTGGCCTCTAAGGAGCACTCTGGCTGCACTTCTTCCAAAATGGATCAATTGGTTCTTTTGGCAGCTCATGGCACTTTCAATATTCTCCTCCAACACCATAACTCAAAAGCATCGATTCTTCTATGGTCTTCCTTATTCACTGTCCAGCTTTCGCATGCATATGAGGTTATTGAAATACTATGCAAATTCCAATGCAAGCATACATTGGAAGCCCTATAAAGGGTCGCTATAAGTCGGAACCGACTCAACGGCACTTAACAACAACAACAACAAACCCACACCAAATGAACTATATGGAAGTCCGTGGGTGATGCAAGTGGTTAAGTGTTGGATTGCTAACTGATAGGCTGGTGGATTAAACCCACCCGGAGCCCTGGTGTGGTACTGTGGGTTAACGCGCCAGACTGCAAAGCCATTTGAACTGCAAGGTCGGCAGTTCAAGCTCACCAGCTGCTCCTCAGAAACCCTATACAGGGTCACTATGGTTCGGAACTGACTCGACGGCACTTAACAACAACAACAATGCTCCTATAGGTAAGCCTGGTTACCTGCTTATAAAAGTTTACAGCCTTGAAAACCCTTGGGCGCAGTTCTAGTCTGGGCAGATGGGATCGCCATGAGTTGGAATCCACTCGGTGACAGCTGAGTGAAGTGAAGGTTCACAGAGAAGATCATCTGTTTTACATTCAACACACCACACACTTTGTTTCATCTCAATGATTGCAGTCACCTCCCTGTGACAACAGTGATCCCGCTTCCTCCCTGCTGCTCGTCTTCCCATTCCACCCTCCTTTCCATTCCTTCTTCACTTTGTCCTGAAGTGAATGCTGCCCTTTTGATCTGGAATGGTTAACCATTCCATGGTGAGTATACCTTACTAGTGTTGCTGCCCCCCTCCCCTTATACACTTATCTACAGTTTAGCTTAAAATGGGACCATGAGGGTAAAATCTACTTTAGACTTGAAGGGTGGCCAAGGGTCACAGTCTCGGGTTCCTCCAGTCTCTTTCTGACCAGCAAGTCTGGTCTTCTCTTTTTTCTCTTGTTAAAAATGATTTTGAGTTTTGTGCCACATTTTCTCCCGCTGTCTGTGAGACCTTCTAATGGATCTAATGGGATCCCTTTCAGAGCAGTTGGTAGTGGTCGCTGGGCTAGTTTTTTTGGTCTCAGAGTCACGGTGACCGATGTTTCCATATTCCATCAGTCCATCTGACTAGCTGATTCCAAGCATCTTCAATTCTCATAACTCTTCTTTCTTTTGCACACGGAGAAACCAATAGTTGTGCCTTCAACAGCTGCTCATGATCTTTTAAGATCCCAACCACTACTCACCAAAATACGATGGCCACTTTAGGCCAGGCTGACTGAGGAAATGATTTTTTTTTAAAGAGAACTATTAACAAAGTACCCAAGGACCATCAAGGGAGAAGAACACAAGCAGAATGTGAGACCTTATCCAGAGAAGCAGCCACACCAGAGATGGAGGCAGAGATGGGGACATGGAGAGAGGGAGCAGCTGAAGACTCTAGATTCAGGGGAAGAGAGGGACTAAGAGCTGGTGGACAGGAGACAGACTTGCAGAATGTGCCCTTTGGTGGTGTAAATTATTATATATACCTGAATGTTTTTTTTAAAAAGAGCTAAAGTGAATAGAGAGGAATACTGTTAACTGATGGTACATGGAGGGGATTATAATCATTGTAATGAAACAAGGTTGTATGATTTGTTGAATGTAAAACTGATAATCTGCCCTGTAAACTTTCACTCAATCCACAATAAAAACCTGGGAGCATGGTGGCTATGTATGATAAACTGGACTGTGAACTACTAAGTCAGCAGTTTGAGCCCACCCACCAGTCCCTCCATGGGAGAAAGATGAGGCTTTCTGTTCCTGCAAAGATTAGCAGCCTTAGAAAGCCTATATAGGGTCACTAGGAGTTAGAACCAACTTGACAGTACTTAACAACAGTAATATATATTTGACTTTACAAAGTATGGTAGCTTTGTCTTTTGATCAATGAATCAATAAAGAAAGAAATGAATAGGGGGGTGTATAGTTAGTGAGATGGGGTAGGTGTAGTCTGAAGGGAATCATAAAGACTAGATTTTCATAAGTCATTGTAAGAGTTTGAAGGACATCGTGAGAGCACTGAGGGGGCCACAGGAGGTGCTGGAATGGGATTGGGGTGGGGGAAAGTAAGAACTATTGTGTTAAAAAGATTTCCCCAACTCTCCTATAAGGATGGACTAGACGCTGGGCAACCAGGGAAGAGGCTGGGGTGAGAGATGATTAGGGAATAATGGACCAGGACAGGGTCTGAGGGGATGGACTGAAAACACTTGGCTTAGTAACCAGTATCTCTGTGAATCTGGATGGTGCTGATATCTCTGTGTATCCTTGTCTCTTTTCCTTTCTCAGTCAGTCTGCTGACCTATGGGGTCTGCCAAGGCTTTACTGAAATATTCATCAATCCAAATTCACTCACAGCAATCAAGGGAGAGAAACAAGTCTTGATCCTTGAGAATGCCCCCACAGATGTGTTGCAATACAGCTGGTACCGGAGTGAAGACAACCAAACAGAAAACATGATTGTCAACTACAAACCCCCCTCGAAGTCCTGGCAGGTTGGGACTGCATTCACTGGTCGGGAGAACGTGACCAGCAATGGTCACCTGACAATCAACAATGTTGCATTAAATGACACAGGAAAATACATTGTGACAGTGGAAACAGTCGGCGAGACTCAAAGAGCAACTGGCAGGCTTAAGGTCATAGGTGAGCTGGTTAGTTTCCCCATTTCCCGTCCCCAAAGAAAGTTGGATCTGAAAGTTTTGAATGTGAAATCCCTGGGAGGTCATGTTGCCCCATTCCTCCACTCACCTCCAGGTGACATAAGGTTATAGGTGAGCTGGTTAGTTTCCCCATTTCCCAGCCCCAAAGAAAGTTGGATCTGAAAGTTTTGAATGTGAAATCCCTGGGAGGTCATGTTGCCCCATTCCTCCACTCACCTCCAGGTGACATTGGGACTCTTGGCAGGTCTACCTTCTCCTACAGAGTTAAGTCACTCATTATCTTCAAAGGAGCTCTGGTAGCGTAGTGGTTATGAATCGGGCTGCGAGCCACAAGGTCAGCAGTTCGAAACTACCAGCGGTTCCATGGGAGAAAGATGAGGCGGTCTGCTCCCATAAAAATTTACAGCCTCAGAAACCCTGTGTAGGGTTGCTATGAGTCGGAACCGACTCCACAGCACATAACAACAACAACATCTTCAAAGGAACCTCTTGCTTTATTTCCCAAATGGTGTATTTGTTGTCTATTGCTCCACAACAATCACAACCATAGCAGCTTAAAACACCAACTGTGATTGTCTTACAATTTTTGTGCATCAGGAATGTGGGTATGACTGAGCTAAACCTTCTCAGTCTCAAGAGGCATCATTGGTCAGGGCTGTGTTCTCATCTGGAGGCTTTGCAGGGGAAGAATCTACTTCCAGGTGCATTTGGGTTGCTGGCCCAATTTATCTCCATTTGATGACATGACTGAGGCTCCCATATTCTTACTGGTTGTTGACTGGAAGCCCTTGGGTCCTAGAGATCATTGAAGTTCCCAGATGGAACATCACCCAGATGGCCACATGGTTATCTTTATGAGAAGTTCACCAAATGGCTTTTTGCTTCTTCAAGGTAAGCTGAAGAATTTTTCTCTCTAGTCTGTAAAGAAAGGAACTCTGGTAGCATAGTGGTTATGAATTGGGCTGCTAACCTCAGGGTCAGCAGTTCGAAACTACCAGCTGTTTGTTTCTCTGAGGAGAAAGATGAGGCTTTCTGTTGCAGTTAAGATTTACAACCTCAGAAACCCTATGTAGGGTTGCTATGAGTCAGAACCGACTCCACAGCACATAACAACAACAAGTCTGTAAAGGCAAAATCCTATGGAATTCTGCGACCTAATTATGGGAGTGTTATCCCATTGTCTTTGCCACATTCTGTAAGTTACAAGAGATCCCTGGGTGGTACAAATGGCAAAATGCTCAATTACTACTCAAAAGGCTGACCATTTGAATCCACTAAAAGGATCCTTGGGACACAGACCTGGTGAGCTGCTTTCAAAAGATCCGAGGCTTGAGAACTATGTGGAGCACTGTTCTACTCTGAGACACGGATCACCATGAACCAGAACTGACTTGATGGCAAATAACCCCACCACCATGAATAATATAGGTCAGAAACAAGCCACAGGTCCCACCTATACTCAAGCCAAGGGTTTTATATTGGGTATAACACCAAGAGGTTGAGATCGTTGGCCATCTTAGAATTCTGCCTATGACAAACAGCTCTTGCCACAGAGCTGGCATGAAGGGTGTAGCAGGGAGGAACATAGATTTTGAAAGTTTGTGCTTGTCTCTGACTACATATATTACCTTTCCCTGAGCAATTGTTTTTAACCCGTGATCCTCGGTTTTCTCAGTAGTCGAATGGGGAAAGCACCTCTCATTGTGGTTTATTGTAAGGTTGGAGGGAGCCTTTGTAAAATGAATGGGACTCAGATCATGGAAGCAATTATTATTGGTAGTCCAAATTCTATCCATTTGATCTGAATTCTACTCATGGCTCATTTGATGGGAATATCCTGATGTTGGGGTTCAAAGACAATCACCAGGCTTCTTGCCGATGTCAAAGAGCTCAGCATTATTGAAACAGGTATCATTGTAATGGCTTGGTGCATAGGTCAATGAACTCTGCCCAACTCATTGCTCATTCCTAACTTTTCTGCCTATCTCAGCTCCAGTATCTGCCAAACTCCAAGCCCCATCTGGGGTCTTCTCCCCAGCATACTCTGAAACATTCTTGAAGAGAAATAAGAGTTTGGGGAGGCAGAACCCAGCCCTAAAGTTCTCTTTTTCTTTCCTCCTTCTTCATCCAGAGTTGGAAAGCGAACCTACTATCTCTATGAACTCCAGTTCTCTGGTGGAAAATGTGGATTCTGTAGCAATCTTCTGCCACACCAATGCCACCAAGATCACGTGGCATAATGTATCTACCTCAGTCCTGTCCAGCAATGACCGGATGACCATTTCTCAAGATGGCAAGACGCTCATCATCCACATGGTTGACCGCGACGACTTAATATTCTACTGCTCAGCAGAAACGTATCCAGGTTTAGTCCAGAGAAGCATCGCCATCTGGCTGATTGTGTACTGTAAGTGTGCTCTGGGGTCATGGGATACTGATCATTGAGAGATGGAGTGAAGTCAAGGGTAGGGTCAGGATCTTCAAAGGACTTTGTGATAAAACTGGCAGATCTGGAGAGAGTAAGATCAGGATGTCCACAACTGATATGATCTGGGTTCAAAGTGAGTTTGAGTGATTTGGAAGGTTGCTTCGAAGAATAAGATATGGCCACTAGATGGCAGTGTCGTAAAAACAAGCTATTTATTGGGGGTAGTGCTTTGAAAGGACAGAGCCTTGTCACTGCAGTGGGAAAGTTGTTGTTGTTGTTGTTAGGTGCCTTCGAGTCTGCACCGACCCATAGCAATCTTATGCATAGCAGAAGAAAACACTGCCTGATCCTGGGCCAACCTCACTATTGTTGCCACGCTTGAGTCCATCCATGCTGCCGCTTGGTCAATCCATCTCGCTGGGGGTTCTTCCTCTCCTTCTCTGACCCTCCACCTTACCAAACATGATATCTTTCTCCAGCAACTGGTCCCTCCTGACAATATGTCTGAAGTATGAGAGACGAAGTTTGGCCATCTTGGCCTCTAAAGAGCACTCTGGCTGCACTTCTTCCAAAATGGATCTATTGGTTCTTTTGGCAGCCCATGGCACTTTCAATATTCTCCTCGAACACCATAACTCAAAAGCATCAATTCTTCTATAGTATTCCTTATTCACTGTCCAGCTTTTGCATGCATATGAGGTTATTGAAAATACCATGGCTTGGGTCAGGGCACTCCTTAGTCCTCAAGCTGACATCTTTGCTCTTCAACACTTTAAAAAGGTCTTGTGCAGCAGATTTGCCTAATGGGAAATTACTCAGCTACAAAGTAACTGATTGATGACTTGATTCCACCAGTGGCATCTCAGGAGAAATATGTGGCATTCTGCTACCATAAAGACTGGTGGTGGTGGTGATTGTGTGCCGTTGAGTCGGTTCCAACTCATAGCCACCTGTATACGGTTTCTGAGGCTGGAAATCTTTATGGGAGCAGAAGGCCTCATCTTTCTCCCACAGAATGACTGGTGAATTCAAACTGCTGTTCTCGCAGTTCGCAGCCCGACTCCTAACCCACTACACTAACAGGGCTCCTTCCGTAAAGATTGTTGTTGTTGTTAAGTGCCGTGTAGTAGGTTTCAACGCATAATGACCCTGTCTAGAATTTCCTAGGATTTAAATCTTTTGTGGGAACAGAAAGTCTCATCTTTCTCCCAAGAATCGGCTGGTGGGCTCCAACTGCCAATCCTGTGGTTCGCAATCCAACGTTTATCCTAGGGCATTTATCTTTCACGCTCTCTTACATAAAGATGATTGTTGGCCATCAAGTGGGAGCCATCTCGTAGTGATTCTGTATAGGGTTTCCAAGGAGTGGCTGGTGGGTTTGAACCACCAACCTTATAGCTAGCAGTCCTGTGCTTATCCTACAGCACCACACCAGGAGTCCTCATCAAGATTGTTGCTGTTGTTAGGTGTTGTTGAGTTGGTACCAACTCATACTGGCCTTATGAACAACAGAATGAAACACTGCCTGGTCCTGCTGCAACCTCACAATCATTGCTACACTTAAGCCCATTGCTGCTGCCACTGTGCCAATCCACCTCATTGGGGGTCTTCCTCTTATTCACTGACCTTCAACTTTGCCAAGCATGATGTCCTTCTCCAGGGACTGAAGTATGATCATCCTGGCTTCTAAAGAGCGTTCTAGCTGTCCTTCTTCCAACACAGATTTGTTTGTTCTTCCGGCATGGCAGTCCATGGTACTTTCAATATTCTTCACCAACACCATAATTCAAATGCATCAATTCTTCCATGGTCTTCCTTATTCATTGTCCAGCTTTCACATATATATGAGGCTACTAATAATACCATGGTTTGGGTCAGGTGCACCTTAGTTCTCAAATTGATACCTTTGCTCTTGAACACTTTAAAGAGGTCTTGTGCAGCAGATTTGCCCAATGCAATACATTCTTTGATTTCTTGACTGCTACTTCTTTGAGTGTTGATGTAATCCATAAAAATTACAGCCTTGAAAATTCCATGGGACAGTTCTGCTCTGTCCCATCGGGACCTTATAAGGAGGTTTGAAGTCCAAATGCAGGGCGTTGCTGTAAAGGAAAGCTCTTTCTTTTCTGCCAGCTCTGGGGGAAGAGCTGGTCTATTTGAGCTTCTGTAAGGAGCTCTGGTAGCATAACGGTTACTAATTGGGTTGCTGATCTCACAGTCAGCAGTTCGAAACTACCAGTGGTTCCGTGGGAGAAAGATGAGGCTTTCTGCTCCCATACAGACTTACAGCCTCGGAAACCCTGTTCAGGTACCTATGAGTTGGAATGGACTCCATGGCACATAGCCACCACCACCACTCTTTATGGTAGCAGAATGCCACACATGTTTCCTGAGGAGCTGCTGGTGGAAATAATTGGTGGTGAATAAGTTGGTTCTTTGGTTCCTTGGTGGTCCTCACAGGGCCTCTGTCTTCCCTGGTGTGTGCTTACTTCTGTGGTTAATCTGCTCTTTTTATAACTCAGAATGATTAGGTTTAAAAGACAGCCTACACTGGAGGCCTGGTGTGGCTCTGCACGATGAGCACTGGACTGCTAACCACAAGGTCAGCTGTTAAAGCCCACCAGCTTTTCCTTGGAAACCTAGGCACTCATCGGGTCCCTATGAGTCAGAATCCACTGAAGGCACCTAACAACACTGACAAGGCTCCACTTGGTATGTCAATGAAAACCCTGTTCTTCAAAGGGATCACATCCTCAGATGTAGAGGTTAGGATTCCAACACATATGAGGGCTTCAAAAAGTTCATGGGAAAATTCCACTATCTTTTCATTTCATCATTACATGAATTTTTTGAAGCCCTCAGGCCAAGATGACCAAGTTTCATCTCTCATACTTCTGACATATCGTTAGGAGGGACCAGTTGCTGGGGAAAGATATCATGTTTGGTAAGGTGGAGGGTCAGAGAAAAAGAGGAAGACCCCCAGCGAGATGGATTGGCCAAGTGGCAGCATGATGAACTCAAACGTGGCAACAGTAGTGAGGTTGGCCCAGGATCAGGCAGTGTTTCGTTCTGCTGTGCATAAGGTCACTATGGGTCAGTACTGACTCGATGGTCCCTAACAACAACAACAACAACAACTATATTCTGAGGTGAGATGGGGGAGAGGGGAATGACCTGACACAATTTAATCTGCAATAGGTTATTCAGAAAAAAATTGGGTGCCCACAAATTTGAGTTTGGTGCCAGTGAGCTTTCAGGCTACCAAATCTGAGCTTGCTGTGAAACAAACAAACAAACAACATGACGCCGATATGCACAGGCCATCTTTGGCTGGTTTCCATGACATCTCTTTAACTCTTTGCACTTAGGAACTGACTTCAGTGCTCAGAATGATGAGCCACTCAGTTCTAAAGTGTGAACTCTGATCCTTCTATCTCAGAAATGGCCACTGTGAATTTGCTGGGGGTTGATTTTTGTTAACAGAGGATGATTCACAGCCAATCATTTCTTAAATTGATCTTGAAAGCCTCATTTTTTGTTTTTGAGCCTTTGCATTCAATCCAGTGATCTTTCTCTTCTGTCCTAAGTTTTGTGAAGCCACCATTATTTCTTCTTTTACTCCAATGGGACTGACCAAACCCTGTGAAACCAACAGTTCTTGTCTTTGTTTATTAATGCTGCTATTGCAGAAATGCCACAAGGAGATGGTTTTTATCAACAGAAATGTGTTTTCTCACAGTTCAGGAAGCTAGAAGCCCACATCTAAGGTTCCAACTCTAAGGGAACACTCTCTCTCTCTGCTTCAACTTCACTAGTGTTCTCTGTTCCCTGGAGACCTCCGTGTGCACCTACTTTCCCCTCATTTTGTACTTGCTTGCCCTGTGTCAAATCACACTGACTCTATAGGACAGAGTAGATTCTCCCTGTAGGGTTTTCTTGGCTGTCATCTTTACGGTAGCAAATCGTTGCATCTTTCTACTGTGGAGTCCACTGATGAATTCATACTATTGACCAGTTATGCTAGCAGTCAAAAGCTTAACCACTGAATCACCAGGGTGCCTTTCAATTCATAACAACAGTCCTTTTAAAGCACAATTATACATTCCTCAAGTTCTGTTTTCTTTGTAAGGCCAATTTATAACTCAACAACTTCCTTGAATTCACAAACAGCTCTTATAAGTCTAACAAATTGAACTTGAGCTAGCTCTAACTCATCGCTGGAACGTACACATACTTACATCATAAATACAATGAAATTTCCCAACACTTCCCACAAATTGTATAAAAACTCTTTTACTCCTTTTAATTGAAAAAAATCACAAATCTAGGATTTGTTTCACATCTAAATTTGAAACCGCTCTTGTAGTCCATCAGATTTCCTGATATGCAAGCTCTGAGAACCATCATCCTAAGGCAGCTATTGCCTCAGTGTGGAGAGTTTCTGACCTCAATACAGCTGCTTTTTAGTCAAAGGTTTGGGCTCAAGATCCAAGGCCCAGGGATTGTAGCAATTCAGGGAGATTGCTTCTAGGCTAGGCAAGGTCCTTTTGTAAGCCAATGTTTTTGTTAGGCGCTGTTGAGTCCATTTAAACTCCTAGAGACCCCATGTGACAGAGAGGAATTATCCCATAGGGTTTTCTAGGTTGTGTAATTTGGTCGCACAATGGATTAAGCATTGGGCTACTAACTGAAAGGTCAGTGGTTGGAACCCATTGCTCACTGTGCTGGAGAAATGAGGCAATCTGCTTCCACCAAGCTTTGCAGCCTCAGAAACCCTGTGGAGTAGCTCTTGTCTATCTTATAGAATCACTGTTTCCGTTGGAATCACCTGGATGGCATTGGGTTTGGTTTTGGGGTTCATCTATATTGGAGCAGAATAAAGAATGATCCATTCTTTCTTCCGCAAAAACACTGTGTTGGTTCAAACTGCCAACCTGTTACCAGCCAAGAGCTTAACCTTTATGCCACCAGGACTCAATGGGAAACTTTAAGTCCTTAGTATTTATGAGTTGGGCTGCTAATCTCAAGGTCAGCAGTTCGAAACTACCAGCAGTTCCATGGGAGAAAGATGAGACTTTCTGCCCCCGTAAAGATTTACAGCCTCAGAAGTCCTATAAAGGGTCGCTATGAGTCGGAACCGACTCCACGGCACACAACCACCACCATCACCAAAAATGAATCCGTAATGGAATCTACCACATCGGTGTTTTGTGGGAATAAAATGAGTGTGAGTGTGTAAAGCACACAGAACAACATGGCATTGTGCTTCTTTTTCTCTATCTCTACTGGATGCCTGGTGTGGCGCTGTAGGATCAGCACTGAACTTCGAACCACAAGGTTGGCAGTTCAAACCCACCAGCTGCTCCTCGGAAACCCTATAAAGGGTTGTTATGAGTCAGAACTGACTCGGCAACACTTAACAACAACATCTCTGTATCTATATTGATCTCCCATATCTCTTTCTTTTGATCTATCAAGAGAGATTTATTTTAAGAAATTAGCTCATCTAATTGTACGGGATGGCAAATTCCAAATTGGTAAACTAGTCAGCGGGCTGGAAATTCTAGCAGGATTTCCATGTTACAGTCTTCAGGTAGTGTAGTGGCTACAAGTTTGGCTGCTTAACCTCAAGGTCAGCAGTTCGAAACTGTCAGTTGTTCCGTGGGAGAAAGATGAAGCTTTCTGCTCCCATAATAGATTTACAGCCTCAGAGACCCTGTACAGGGTCGCTATGAGTTGGAACTGACTCCACGCCATGCAACAACAACAACAACAACAACAGTCTTCAGGTAGAAGCCTTCTTTCTAGGGGAAGCCTCTGTTTTTGGTCTTAGGGTCTTCAACTGATTGGATGAGACCCCCACATTGTCAAGGCTCACCTCCTTTACTTATGGAGGATGATGGATTTAAGTGAATTTCACATGTAAATATCTTCATAGCAGCAGCTGGACTCATGTTTGATCAAACAGCTGAGTACTTATCTGATTATTACACACAGGGCTACCTCAGTGCTTGGTGTTATGGGTGTTGTTGTTATTAATGCAGTTGCCTTGTCTTGGGTGGGTCAGCTCAGCGTGCAGCATGGGAGGGGGGAGGACTTCATGTGGCTTGAGGGAGAGAGGGCTCTGAAGAAAACACCTGAGGGGTCAGAAATGCAGCTCTGGGTCTCTGGTTCTGTTTCCTCAGATGGACCTGATGGGATGACTCTGAAGACGGAACCTTTTGCTTACCGTGATGTCATATCTGCTGAGATTGGATCCAAGGTGGATATGGAGTGTAGTGCCTCTTTCTCCCACCCGCAAACCACATACCGCTGGTTTCACAACGACTCCCTCATGACTTTCTCAGATGCAAAGATGGTGTTCACCAGTCTGTCCTGGTATCAGCTGGGCAGATACAGATGCGTGGCAGAGAACCCTGTGACCCGGTTGATCCTGTATAAAGACGTCAAGATCCAGCTTCCTTGTGAGTGACGGAGCTTGTCCTTCAGGGCCCATGCTCTCCAAGTCATCCCCCTCTCCATGCCTTGGCTTACACAGTGCCTTTCATCAGGAACACCACCTTCATCTTGTCATATCCTCATGGTTGTTGTTGTTAAGTGCTGTCAATAGCGTCCCTGTAAACGGTTTCCAAGGAGTGGCTCGTAAGTTTGAACCATTGACCTTGTGGTTCAAACCGACCTTGCGGTCCAGATACTCACTATTCCTGGGGTGAAATTCTCTCTCTCCTCCAAAGCCCTATGCTGCCTACTCTGTGAAGACTTCAGACTCATCAGATCAGAGTCAGGTTGAGCCAAAAGATAAGATTAGCCAGCTTTCTTTGCTTCCTAAGGCTGCCATGACAAAATACCATGAAGTGGGCAGATTATGTCTTAATTATCTGGTACCGCTATAACACAAACACCCCAAATGGATGGCTTTAACAAACAGAAATACATTTACTAATGAACTTAGCTGCAATGAAAGACCTCATCTCCCCAAACAAGGTCACATTCACCAGGATTAGGACTTCTGCCTATCTTTGTTGGGGGAGACACCTCAATCCATAACACCAACATTTATTGAGTACTTAGCCACATGCCAGCTGACATTCTATCTGTGTGGTTCTCACTAGCTCCCTCTGGATGAAGTTACCCTTAGTATCAAACATCATCTCCACTTAATAAGTGAGAAAAAAAAACCCTTGGAACATTATTAGTCAAGGTTTCATTGCTAGTCAGCTGAGGAAGCAGGATTTAAAATCAAGCAGTTTGATTCCAGCCTGGGCCTTCAACTGCTATCCCTGACTGCTTCCAAAACACAGAAATGAGAAGCAGAGGGGTTTTGTGGCTGTGGGTGTCAGAAACTTGACTTGGGATTCAATCTGTAAATGGAAAAGGCACCTTTTCAACAACCCTACACCTTATCTTCTGCATCAAGGAAAGAAACAGATATGTTCAAGAAAAGAGTAAGACAGTGGCAAAGTAAAAGTAACTAGGACTCTGGAGCTCAAGGATCGGGGTTCAAAGCCCAGATTTGCTGCTGTTTACACTCACTGAGCGGCAGTTTCCTCATCCGTAGTATGAGGGTAATAATTGTCCCTACAGAAGAGTTTGGATAGCAGGAAATCTGTGCAACAGTTCACACACACACACACAAATGCATGAGTCAACAAGAATATCAGCCTGGCTGGTCCCAGAGAAAGACCCCAGAAGATACAAGGACTGGAGACATTTATTCAGTCTATTGAATCTCTCCACACTCTTTACTGAACACATATTACATTCTAGGAGCTCTGTAGGATAAGCACTGGACTACTAACCACATTGTCAGAAGGGACCAGTCACTGGAGAAGGATATCATGTTTGGTAAGGTGGAGGGTCAGAGAAAAAGAGGAAGACCCCCAGTGAGATGGATTGGCCAAGTGGCAGCATCAATGGGTTCAAGCGTGGCAACAATTGAGTTACCCCAGGACCGGGCAGTGTTTCGTTCTGCTGTGTATAAGGTCACCATGAGTGAGTAACGACTCGATGGCACCTAACAACGACAACAACTAACCACAAGGTCGGCAGGTCAAACCCACCAGCCACTCCGAAGGAAAAAGTGAGACTTTTTGTACCTGTGAAGATTTGCAGACCGTAGAAGAATAAGGCAGACTGTAGAATTGATGCATTTGAGTTATTGAGGTATTGGAGGAGAATATGAAGAGTACTATGGCCTGTCAGAAGAACAAACAAATCTGTGTTGGAAGAAGTATAGCCAGAATTCTCCTTAGAAGTCAAAATGGCGAGACTTGGTTTCTCATGCTTTGGACATACTATCAAGAGGGCCCAGTCCCTGGAGAAGGACATCATGCTTGGTAAAGTGGAGGTTGGCAGAAAACAAGATGGCCTCGAACAAGATGGACTGACACGGTGGCGGCAGCAATGGGCTCAAGCGTAACAGTTGTGAGGATGGTGCAGGGCCAGGCAGGGTTTCGTTCTGTTGTTTATAGGGTTCCTGTGAACTGGATCTGACTCAACAGTGCCTAACAAACAACAAAAAAGATTTACAGTTTCAGAAACCTGGTACAGATGGCAGTGTGTTTGGTTTGGTAGTACATTCCAGACACAGATGTATTTGGTAACTCTCTGATTCAAGTCTTCTTACCCCAGCTTAATAAGGCCAGAGGTTGAGCAAGTTTTTACTCACCATTTGTTCCCAGTGCTTAACATGGTGCCTGACACATTGGTGCTCAGTAAGTATCTTACTGAGGTCACGATGCTGTATAAAAATGAGGTCATGATGCTGTATAACCAGCAAGCCCCTCACCCCACCCCACCAGTCACTCTCCATCCCCTTTGCTGTTGTTGCTGTTAGATGCCATCGAGCTGGTTCTGACTCAGAGCAACCTGATGTGGAACTGAATGAAGTACTTCCCAGTCTTGCAGCATCCTCACAATCATTGCCAAGTTTGAGCCCATTGTTACAACCACTGTGTCAGTCCACCTCATTAAGGGTCTTCCTCTTTTTCACTGATGCTCTACTCTACTAACCATGTTGTCCTTCTCCAGGGACTGGTCCCTCCTGCTAACACGTCCATTCCCTTTACAAGGATTTATTCTTCTTCAGAGCACTTATCATTCTTGCAACAATTCGTGTGGCATGTTCTTTTACTTCATTGTATACCACCCACTTCCCAGCCAGAATATCACCCCACAATGGTAGAGGCTTTAGTTAGTTTGTTGTTGAAGCTCCAGTATCTGAAATAGTGGGAGACACATCATAGTGCTGATAAGTCTTTGAAGAATGGATTTGAGGCTGAATGAATGGCTGAGTGAATCAATGATTGAATAAATGAATGGTGGTCCTGATCCCCAACTGTCTTCTCTCTTTCCTTCCAGCAAAACCCTGGGTTGATGTCCCCAGAGTTTTCACCATCTCAGGAACCATGGCAGTGATGCTGATTGTGGTGACTGCCTTGGGTGGTCTCTACCTCTGTGGAATCCTAATCTACCTGCTGATCAGCCACTGCTCCACCAGGTGCCTCTTGTCCTGAGTCAAGGTCAGATAGGGGGCTGAAATTCAAAAGTCAGTACTACCATGAGAGAGGGGAGACTGAACCTGAGGAGAAGGGACAAGTCGGGAACCAAGATGTTTAGTCCTTAAGACCAGGAGCTGTGGGAGACTGGAAGGGCTTAGAATCAGATATGGGTAGTACATATGATTAAATACTTAACCACTAGTCAAATGTTGATGGTTCTAAGTCCTCCAGAGGTGCCTCAGAAGACAGGATTGGTAGTCTTTTTCTGATCGGTCACATCCTTGAAAACCCTATAGAACAGGTCTACTCTGTATACATAGGGTCTTCATGACTTGAAGTCAACTCAACAACAGTTAATAACAGCATGCATCTAAATAGCTGTCTGGCTTCATTTGTGGCTTCCTTTCTCTTCAGCCTAGTTTCTTAATAATACAAACCTTGAGATCTTCCTGGGTGTAAGAAAGCCAGAGATGCATGTCTGTCAGTCAACATGTTTCTGGAACATAGTACTTACTGGTTACCAAGTGATATCAGGACAAGAGGCAGATATCAAAATCACGATGCAGAGAGAAGAGAGTGAGTGGTGGGAAGTTTAGGGTCTGGGTTCAAATCCCCAATCTCTCACTAGCTGGCTTTGTGATCTTGGGCAGATCACGTCTCCTCTTTGATATTCATAGTTCAAAAGCTTAATATTGATGGTTCCATCCAATCAACTCCAATGTTTCCTTTGTCTGTTATTTATTCATTAATTCAATCTTCATATATTTACTGAGCACTTGGCTACATTCTTGGGGCTCTGATGAATGAAAGATAAACAATACACTCTACCTGCTATCAGGAATGTTACAACTACCAAGACCTATTCCCTTCCTTCTGGTAGCTATGCCCACTCCCCTTCCAGGGCATCCAGTAGTTACTTAAAACAACTCACATATTGTGGTCCCTGGGTAATGTCCCAGTCAAAGCCTGAGAAAGAAGTATTACAAGGATCTCAAAAAACCAAACTTTTATGCAATCTCCTTCCCTCCTCCCAGTTTCCTCCTAAGAGTCATTCCATGACATCACTAAGTTTTCCCATAGAAAAGGAGAGAACTCAGATGCTTCTTCATCCAGGATCCTTGACAAAGACTATCGTATACCAACATTTTCATAACCATCAATAAGTAGGAGGAAGCAAGTTTCTCAAAATTTAAAGTATCTTTGGGGCTGGATTACTCCAAACACATAGATGATTAGTGTGGACTTCTAAAGCAAATGACAGAGTTAGAGGAGGGTAAGAAGACAGGTAGCCTGTACCTATAGTTATTCACTAATGTGTTAATTAAAATTTTTAGTAGATACAATTTTAATTATTTTGGTATAGAACTTATTTGTGGTTATTCTTGTTGTTGTTGAATCATGACAACCTTAGGTGTTGTTGTTGTTAAATGCCATAAAGTCGGTTCCGACCCATAGCGACCCTGTACAGGGTTTCCGAGGGTGTAAATCTTTACGGGAGTAGGAAGCCTCATCTTTCTCCTGCGGAGCGGCAGGTAGTTTCGAACCGCTGACCTTAAGGTTCGCAGCCCTATTCGTAACCACTACGCTACCAGAGCTCCTTTGTATAGTGGCACAAAATGTTGCCTCATCCTGCACCATCCTCATGATCATCATTTGAGTTGTATGCTTGAGTCCATTGTGGTTACTGTGATGACTACATGGTCCCTTAACTGAGGAGGATACAGTATTGGCCATTCAATGAAACATTAGACAAAATAGCCCACCTGTACTTTACTTTGCCATCTGTGAAATGAGAATAAGTATCTATGTTGCATGGCTGTTGGGAGAATGAAAGATAGTTTCTATAAATCATCTATGATGATACCTGACATATCATAGGCGTGAAATAATTTACTACAGTTTTTATTTTACTGAGGAGTTTACTGTGAAACAATGGCCAAGCACTCTACTGCTAACCAAAAGGTCAACAGTTCAACCAGCAGCTCCACCAGAGAAGAGATCTATCAATCCGCTCCTGTGCAGGCTAGGTGATCCTATGGTATGTTCAATATTCATGAACACCATCATAATTCAAATGAACCAAGTCTTCTTTAGTCTTCCTTCTTCATTGTTCAGCTTTCTCATACATATGAGTTGATTGAAAGTATTATGGCTTGGATCAGGCCAACCAGAATGCCTCTTAAAAATGATGATAGAGAGACTTTGTCTCATTTGGTTTGGATATGTTATTGGGAAGGAATCAAGCCCTGAAGTAGGAGATTATACTTGATAATGTAGAGAATGAGCAAAAAACAAACAAACAAACAAACCAGAAGGTCTAACACAGTGACTGCAACACTGGGCTCAAACCATACTATTGTGGGGATGTGTATCATAGGACTGGGTAGAGTTTCATTCTGTTTGTTATGCATGAGGTTGAAATGTTTTGGAACTGATTCCACAGCATCTAAAGGCAACAAAAAACACCCTACAGGGCAGTTATACTCTGTCCTACAAGATTGCTATGATTTGGAATTGACTTGACAGTGAAAAACAACATTATTAGGCTTATTATTATTAATACTAGTAATTAGACAATGTAGTACCAATTCCTTCACCAAGTATACCCTAAATCGTTGACTGCCCACACTCCCTACTCCATGATACATTCATCCAGTGATCTTAAAACCTCAGAAAACAAAACAAAACCTATGGAGAATGTTGAGAACTTTTGGTGTAGAGGTTAAACTTCCAGATTCATCATGCCCTCCAGCTCCTGGAATCTGACATGGTGTGAGCTCAATAAGAATAAGGTAGCCTCCCTCATCTCTTTCTATCTAGGACACTTCTACCTTCTCTTAGTTTCTTAGAGATCTGAAAGTAACTCCTTCCCTGATTTCTCCTCACAGGGAAAGACGGCAAGCACAGGCTCCACCTGAGACCTGGAGAATGAACCCAAATAGACAAAAAGGTAAGGGGGGAGAGATGGAGAAGGACTGACAGCCCCAATAGGGAATGGTTAGGCTAGAAGATACGGTTTCAGAAGATGAAAACATTATGAACAGTAGTGTGAAATTGTCATATATAGTGCTGGGAAATGGCTCCCTTAGGTTGGAAGGCACTCAAAATATGTCTAGGGAAGAGCTGCCTCCTCAAAACAGAGCTAACCACAATGACAGGAATGGAGCAAAGCTTTCAGGACCTTCATTTGCTGATGGGGCACAACTCAAAATGAGGTGAGAGAGTGAAAATATCCATTCATAATTGGAACATGGAATGTACTGCATATGAATGCAGGAAAACTGGAAATTGTCAAAAATGAAATGGAACACATAAAGATCAATATCCTAAGCATAAGTGAGCTTAAATGGACTGTTTTGAACCTGCCAATTCAATGGAACATCAAACTGAAGAGGAATGGTGTCCTATTTATCATCTAAAAGAATATTGGCGGGAACAGAACACACACTGTTGGATGATGATGAATGGAGGAGATTGTGGTAATTCTCCGATGAAATGATGAGTGTCAAACCAATGTTCTCCCATGTAAACTATCACTCAATCCACAATAAAAAACTTAAAAAAAGAAAACAACAACAACAACAGAAAGATCTGTCTTGCAGTACAACGCTGTCTGTGATAGAATAATATCCATATGGCTACAAGGAAGACCAGTTAATACCACTATTATTCAAATTTATGCATCAACCACTAAAGCCAGTGAGGATGAAATTGAAGAATTCTACCAACTTCTCCAGTCAGAAATTGATCAAACATTCAATCAAGATGTATTGATAATTACTAGTGATTGGAATGCAAAAGTTGGAAACAAAGAGGAAGGATCAATAGTGGGAAAATATAACCTTGGTGATAAAAATGATGTTGGAGGTCACATGATAGAATTTTGTAATACCAGCAATGTATTCATTGCAAATGTCTTTTAAACATACTAGATGGAATACATAGGAATAGAATTGGCTACATTTGTGGAAAGACACAGTGGAGAAGTTCAGTATCATCAGACAAAACAAGACCAGGGTCAGACTATGGAACAGATCATCAATTGCTCATATGCAAGTTCAGGCTGAAGCTGAAGAAAACTAAAAAAGTCCACAAGAGCCAAGATATGACTTTGAATATATCCCACCTGAAATTAGAGACAATCTCAAGAACAGATTTAATGCATTAGACACCAATGACCAGATCAGAATTGTGGGATGATATTAGAACATCAAGCATTAAATAAGCAAGAGGTCATTAAAAAGACATAAAAGAAAGGAAAAAAAAAACCAAACAAAATAAATGTGAGAAGAGACTCTGAGACTTGCTCTACAGTGTGTAGAGATGCTAGAATGAATGAAAGAAATGAAGAAATAAATGAGTTGAGCAGAAAATATTAAAGGGCAACTCAAGAAGACAAAGTAAAGTGTCATAATGAAATGTGCAAATACCTGGCATCAGAAAACTAAAAGGGAAGAACATGCTCAGCATTTCTCAAGTTGATAAAACTGAAGAGAAAATTCAAGTCCCAACTTACACTATTGAAGAACTCCACAGACAAAATATTGAACGATGCAGGAAGCACAAAAAGAAGATAGAAGGAATACAAAGAGTCACTACCAAAAAGAAATGGTCAATGTTCAACCATTTCAAGAGGTACAATAGGATCAAGAACCAATGGTATGGAAGGAAGAAGACCAATGTGCATTGAAGGCGTTGGTGAACACAAAGCTCCAGGAATTAACAGAATGCAAATAGAAATGTTTTAACAATGTAAAGAAAACAGCATCGGAGGTACTCACTCATCTATGCCAAGAAATTTGGAAGACAGCTGGCCAGCCAATTGTAAGAGATCCATATCTATGCTATACAGGGTAGCAATAAGTCGGAACTGACTCTACAACACTTAACAACAACAACATTCTGTCTGTATACTGAGCAAATAATCTGAGAAACTGAATTATATGAAGAAGAATGTGGCATCAAGATTGGAGAAAGACTTATTATCAGCCTGTGATATGCAGATGATACAACCT